CAACATTAAAGTGTTTATGTATCATTCTCTATTGTAACGACCATTATTTCTACTATTAAAGTTTTTTTCATCATGAGCTGTCTCTCTGTTTACGGGCCCATAACTAATTAACACGAGGCTGACCACGTCTGGTCCCGTGCAAATTAAAAATGCTATTTTTTACCTACCTAAGTTTATAGGCTTGAGAGGCTATTTCAGCGTAACTTTAACTAGTAGGTGAGCTCACAAGGCTCAAACCTGACAACGTTGCTAACACGAACCCTAGCAAGAGCCGTGCTTCGCAGAATCTACCACCGGATCGGAAACGCGACCCACTGAGAAGATCCGGCGAGAAACTCAGTGGGCTTAAAAATGAAAAACATAGGCTCTTATTTAGGAGTTTTTTTTTTACTGAAACTTACCCCGCAGCGACATAATATGCAGCTTTTATTATACCCTCAGCTGAACCGTTCCATTTGTATTTATTACCAACGACAGCTTCTTCCATATATGATACCGTCGGAGTCACCGGTTTACCAGACTCCGCTTGCTCCCACGCTTTTATTAGGAATCTGTAAAAAAAAAACAGTTTCTAGAACTTTAATCGTTTGAAAATTGAAGGTTTCTTATATGACCAGTTTTTTGACGATACTATCCAAATACATATCATTAGGCGTCTTCGTTTTTATACATATTGTGGCTAAAATCAATGAGCATGTCTAAGGAGAGGGCAGTGCAACGCCGGTAAGAGTAACGCCATCTATCGCCGAATAGTCGAAACGAATATCAAAGGAACTAGTAACGTCGAGACTGCTCGAGAAGTACAACGCCATCTATTGTCAGATAGGGGAAACACACATCGAAGCTACTCGACTTGCCCAGAATGTTCTCGATAAATCTAGGGATGTCGTATCGACTATAAAAGCTTTGCAGAGATGACACGAAGTCAATTAGTAATCGGAACTACTCGAAGCGAAACAGCCACGAACAACTGGTGGTAGGACCTCTTGTGAGTCCGCACGGATAGGTACCACCGCCCTGCCTATTTCTGCCGTGAAGCAGTAATGCGTTTCGATTTGAAGGGTGGGGCAGCCGTTGTAACTATACTGAGACCTTAGAACTTATATCTCAAGGTGGGTGGCGGGGCGGTATTTACGCTGTAGATGTCTATGGGCTCCAATAACCACTTAACACCTGGTGGGCTGTGAGCTCGTCTACCCATCTAACCAAAAAAAAAAAGCGAACGGATCACCTGAAGCGAAGCGGAAGACGTAAATTAAGAATTTTAAAGTGTTCTGAGAGTGTTCTAAGTGTTAATACAGTTTTAATTTGTACTTCAGTAGATTTTTTATTTATCCCGAGCTCCAGCGCGTAACAATATTGTAATTAGCGTACCTGGCTGTTTGCAGCAACAGCACTGTGTAATCGCCCTCGTAAGTTCTAGTGGCCGTGACGAATGCATAAAGCAGCGGCAGATTAGACGAGAGCATGTAGCCGTGGCCTCCGCAGGCCAGTCTGCACTGCTCGATGAGGGCTGCGGAATCCGATGTGCTCAGGGCCTTGAGACAGCTAGACAACGCGTGCAACTGGAAATCGAGAAAATTTTCATTAACTTGAATTGAATCTCGGTGAACTAGTAGAAAAGGCTGTTTAAATTTGGTATCGTTTTTGAATACTACTTATGTACTCCTCGCTCTGAACTAGTAGAAAAGGCTGTTTAAATTTGGTATCGTTTTTGAATACTACTTATGTACTCCTCGCTCTGAACTAGTAGAAAAGGCTGTTTAAATTTGGTATCGTTTTTGAATACTACTTAGGTACTCCTCGCTCTGAACTAGTAGAAAAGGCTGTTTAAATTTGGTATCGTTTTTGAATACTACTTATGTACTCCTCGCTCTGAACTAGTAGAAAAGGCTGTTTAAATTTGGTATCGTTTTTGAATACTACTTATGTACTCCTCGCTCTGAACTAGTAGAAAAGGCTGTTTAAATTTGGTATCGTTTTTGAATACTACTTATGTACTCCTNAAGTGTCACCTTGTTCCGAAGGGACATTTTACTCCGCTTACAGATCATGGGGTAGAGTCTACCGAGAATAAACGCGGCACGGTCACGGACTGATTTTATATGCGGGCGGAATGTCATCGATGCATCCAGGGTAACGCCCAGGTACTTGACCTTCCTGGCCCAGGGTATGGGTTGTCTAAAGAGAGTAATCGGGGGTGAAAAGCTATTTGTAAGATAAGATATGTAAATAATGACTTAAAGTAGGTAACTTAATATTTACGCGCCAATTTTGCTAATCGTGTAAAGATAAAAATGGGACAACAAAAAAATACCTAAAGCAATAAAACACAACGAAACGATTAAAAAAGATACTGTGTTTTACTTATATGAATAAATAATCAAATCTATTTTATTTAGTTAATATTCGTAATAACATAACCTCAAAATAACTCACCCAACTGTCTTCTTTTATGCGTAGAGATGGCGTCACCGTCGATATAATTTGTTAATTCCTCAACGTCAAAATCAAATTTTTTCCTTTCGTTCGCTAAATCGACTACCGTGCGTGCCATTGTGTTAATAATGACTGTGGGTATTATCGAACGCAAGCCGACACGATTGCTAATAAATACAGGAATGACGTGTTATCTTTATTGTGTTATGATTGTGATGTTATGAAGAATAATACGTAACATCTAGCATATTATTTTCTTTTATTTCCTACCTAAATCTTTACTGGTGGTAGGACCTCTTGTGAGTCCGCACGGGTAGGTACCACCGCCCCGCCTATTTCTGCCTTGAAACAGTAATGCGTTTCGGTTTGAAGGGTAGGGCAGCCGTTGTAACTATACTGAGACCTTAGAACTTATATCTCAAGGTGGGTGGCGCATTTACGTTGTAGATGTCTATGGGCTCCAGTAACCACTTAATATCAGGTGGGCTGTGAGCTCGTCCACCCACCCAAGCAATAAAAATAAAATAAAAAAACCTAATCTGATTGTCTTGAGAGGCTTACATATCAGCGTTACCCTAGCGTGTAGGTGAGCTCGGGGCTCAAACCGGAGGTGTTGCTAACACTGGCAATAGCAAGAGAAGTGCTTTGCAAAATCTACCATCGGATCGGAAACGCTGGGAAGATCCGGCGAGAAACTCAGTGGGCTGTGTCTGTGGATTATTTTGCTCGCCGAGCCCTTAGTCGCAAGTGACGGGTTCGGCGAGGACGGTGACCGGTGCTTGTGGTACCTAAAGGCACCGTTAATGGATCGGGAGGATCCGTAATGACGTGCTTAGGGCGACGTCGACTGTTAAACATTCGGATTTATCTTTGCAATTAAAGGTTCGCTTTATTCGGTATTAAAATCAACAATTCGATATTTTTAATTGAACTTAAATTTAGTTTACCTTTTTCAAATAGCTGAAGAACTTTTTGACTATGATTTTTTTTGTTTATTGCTTAAATGGGTGGACGAGCTCACAGCCCACCTGTTGTTAAGTGGTTACTGGAGTCCATAGACATCCACAACTTAAATGCGCCACCCACCTTAAGATATAGTTCTAAAGGTCTCAAGTATAGTTATATAGTCTTTCACCTATCGATATAGTATTTAAGGGCAGTGCTTTAGCACTAATATATAAATACTTAAATAGTTAAATAGTTAGTGTTTTAATGAGTTAAAGGAGTATTAGTTACCGACGGACCCTGTCTAATGTTATCTCACTATCTACTATCATCTGTCTTCGTTTTTAGGATTAATTCTCTAACGCACTAAAAGGAGTTTTTTTACAAATGTTATCATCATCATCATAGTCGCTTACTCTTAGCAGAGCAGTCGTGGTCATGTGGAATCCTCGCCTTGACAGCTGTTCTCCATAGTTCGCGAACTGAGGCTTGGCGCACGCACTCGTTCAGTTTGGTAAGGATTTTCATCTGATCAGTCCAGCGCACAGGGTTTCGTTCACGGGATCTTTTACCATTGACCCTACCCTGAACAACTAGTTTCTCAATAGACTCGTGATAGTGAAGTCGTCGTGGCCTAAAGGATAAGACGTCCGGTGCATTCGTGTTGAACGATATGCACCGGTGTTCGAATCCCGCACGCGAGTACCAATTTTTCTAATGAAATACGTACTTAACAAATTATCACGATTGATTTCCACGATGAAGGAATAACATCGTGTAATAAAAATCAAACCCGCAAAATTATAATTTGCATAAATACTGGTGGTAGGACATCTGGTGAGTCCGCACGGGTAGGTACCACCTCCCTGCCTATTTCAGCCGTGAAGCGGTAATGCGTTTCGGTTTGAAGGGTGGGGCAGCCGTTGTAACTATACTGAGACCTTAGAACTTATATCTTAAGGTGGGTGGCGCATTTACGTTGTAGATGTCTATGGGCTCCAGTAACCACTTAACACCAGGTGGGCTGTGAGCTCGTCCACACATCTAAGAAATAAAAAATATATATATACCTGTAGGATTTAATTATTTAATTATTACTAACATTTCTAATTATTGTAAAACATTTCTGAACGAGTGAAAGGATTCTGAACGCATGCTGTGTGAAAGAAACCCTAGAAAAGAGTATTTCATTTAGACCCACACCTACATACCTATATGATAATGACTGATACTGACTGTAAAATTGAATTTTAAACAACTCGTAGTATTCAAATGTCGTTGAATCCAAGTCTAATCCAGTCCAAAGAAGATCGAATTGCTTTTCTTCCCGATCTCGCAATTCCGAATTTTCGTTTCAATCTTCATGTCTATGAAATCAGTACTATGCAGCCACGTCATATCCGCGGATAACTTAAGTTTCAAACGAATCTTTAACAGCAGAACGCAGCCAGAAAACAGACACAACGGAAACTCTAAAGCTTTAGAGGGGAAAATGATAACTTGACTCAGTTCTTCGAGTACCTCTTCATTACGGATGACTTATTTTTGTCAAGAACACAAGGCATATTTTTATATATTTTTTTAATTGAAATAATTAACATATGTATCTAAAAAAAGTTTATAAATAGCACACATTGAAGACATTGTTCATACTTCCCTAACATAGAAAAAAACATAATGAAAAAGGTCATAATTTACGTCGCTTCGATCTTTTGACTGGGTTCCGTTTTCCAAAAAAATATAATACATAAAATTAATTTTAAAGTTTCCCCTGCATGAGAGGTTTGAGGTACTGGTGGAAGGATCTGTTGACGGGCTCCGCGTTGAGAGGACTCTTCAGCGCCTCCTCCATCAGGCGCTCGTACACGCGCCCGTCGTAAGCGCCCAGGGTCGATTGTAATATCTACGACATTTTAACGATCTTATTAGCTTAGTCCAATTGAATCGTTGTATCAATTCTTAAGTAAAGTAGAGGGTTTTAAGGCTCAAATTTGCATAAAACAACTATACAACCTTTCTAAGTAGAAACACGATCGTTTCCCAGAAATAAACATTGCGTAGGCAGCGGCTTGGCTCTGCCCCTGGCATTGCTGAAGTTCATGGGCGACGGTAACCACTCACTATCAAGTGGGCCGTATGCTCGTCGGCCTAAAAGGGCAATAAAAAAATTTATAAACAAAACCCCACCGGGCCTAAATCTGCCCTATAAGTTCTTTAGAAACTAACGGAATAGGAATTAAGATATTATGATCATATTGTCAATATAGACTAGGATGATCGGATTTCCGTAGCTTCTGAACAATGACTCGCTCCCTTATCTCTTACGATTTCGGAACGATTTTTAAGGTTCAAACTATAACTATACCGAATTTCGTCAGAACTACATTCCTTTTTTTAAATGGTATGGATTTATTTAATGACCAATCAACGCAGACCTCGTCAGGGAAATCAAACGCGTCGACCAATCCCACGGCATTCGGTCGGATCGCAGCCAACAACTCTTCGTATCTCTGTTGACAGCTGATTATGTCGTCTTCTGTCGTTGAAGTATACTGGAAAAAATAAATAAGGATTTACATGTTTAAAAAATTGTTTACGTATTTCAGGCTCTTATTGAACGACCTTGTATCCAAAACTGAGCCAAGAGCTGAAATCTTAAGACAAGTCGGAGAAACAAATTCAATCAATCTAAGAACAGAGGAGCAGTCAAGAAAGGAACGAAAAATGACACGAATCACTATAAAAGCGATATTTCTGAATTGATCCGACATGAACCTTTAAGATTTAAACTGTTTTAATGATCACGACATATGAATTTCACTTTATTCGTGAACAATTTTCAGTGACTTTATTCGAATAATAAAACCGTTTAAAAATTTACTTTTCAAACGTCAAGTGACGTAGGACTTTGATGTAAGATGTAAGATTTTTGACATAAGACTTTTTGGCGGGAATGCAAGTCGCGAAACTGGGTGAATTGATTTATTTTGTTAGTTTTTCTTCGGGATTAAACGATAATAATAGTGGCTTCTTAACCATTTAGTATCTGTATAAGTGTAGTACGAGTATGGGAAAATGAAGCCAAGTCTCCGGTGGGGGTTTCTGGGATCTTGCAAACAGTATACTGAAATCTCAGTAAACTGTTACCATTTTAATTCATTTCATTGCGATCTTTTTTGTTTAATCTCGTCAGATTTAATTTACTTCCATCCTTATTGACTACAATCTCAAATTAATCAATTTCACCTCGTTCCGATATATATATCGTTTTAATTTTTTAATTTTTATTGCTTAGATGGGTGGACGAGCTCACAGCCCAGTGTATAAAAATACTTTTATATTGTAGTTATATAAAAGTATTTTATATGTTTATTATGTGATTATTGAATATTTTCAAAAACTCAACACAGGCAATAATGGCATCGAATGAAGCAGATTTCTGTTTTGAAGAAAGAAAAAACATGGTAATGTATAGTATGCTATCTTTATGTCTATGCTCTACGCAAAAAAATTGTGATATAGAATTTATACATTGTATTTTGGAATAAATTCCAATTTCCAACTTTCTTGTAATAAAGACAAATATGAATTTCGTTGCACATTTTTAGCTCACCCTCAATAAGTCGCCAGTTCTTTCCAAAGCCCAGTGAGATAAATACAGCATGTTAAGTTGATCCATGACAGTTTTCACATTCGGACTGGAATTCGCTGTGAGCCTTACTGTTTCTTTTCTATACACGTCGCAGATCACTGCACGACAATGCGCCTAAGCAGATAATAGTTTTGGTTAAATATATAGATTTTTTATTATTTTATTTGTTATCCGTAATAAATGTATATGTGTAGAACCAGCGTAAAAATTTAATTGTTTATACAATATTGACATCGTGGCTTGTGTTGCTTGTTACCAAAATAGAATATAAGCTATATTATAAAAAATGATAGAGGTTAAAATGCAATGTTACCTCGGCCGCAGCTACAAGTTGCACCCCGGTCAACTCCCATGCATCTTCAAATGCTTTTCCATTCTTCATACGTTTTCTTATACTGGTAACACTGGATGATATTTTTCTGAAGGAAATATTTTTAATAAGCTACTTTTAATTGAATTTAATATTTTTACTGTGCATTTTTAATTAATTGTAAGTAACGTAATTAAAAAATAATAAATTCACAAATTTCGGAACTATTGCAGTTTTAAACAATTTTTATTTTTGTAAGCCATTTATATTTAAAATTTAAGTATAATTTTGAAAAAAAATATCCTTATTTATATCCTGAAGATTGGAGATTAAAATAAAATTTAAGCACAAACGATTCAAAAAAAGTAATATTATTGCAAAAAAAAAGAAAAACGCAAACTCCGCCGCGACAGTGTTATCACTGCCGTGACCAGGATTCGAACCTGGGTTACTACGGCCACAACGTAGGGTCCTAACCACTAGACGATCACGGCTACCGGAGTCGGCACTTAGATAACAAAAATTCGTATCATGTTCCAGTAAATACAAAACTTTCACTCTTCATATAGTGGGAGTACCAATAAAAGCTATTAACAATCGTTTTGGGTGCCCCCAAGTGGACCTTATCCGCTTCAAACTAAAGTGTATATTAGGTTAAATAAATTATTGAGTTGAGTCTTCTTTCTTTCTAAACTAAACACACTTTCTAAACATTCCGAAAACCAATCACAGAGAGATTTATCTATTATATTAATGAGATATTATACATATAGCTGAAATAGCCCCTTGCGCTACCAGCATTTAGGTAGGAAAAAATCAGTGATTAGAAATGGTAATTTTTTTTCAACTAAAATGCTTATATCTAAAGTACTGTGATGAAATATCAGATCGCACTTTTAGAATTGAAGTGGTTTAATCCAAAATTCTTGTTTTTTTGTAAACGCCAAAAATATAATTGAAGAATTGTATTTTTTTTTGTTTCGATTTTAATACTTTAAGGTACATAATTATGCGCTTGATTTAAAAGAGACGGAAATATTCCTTGTCTTTTCTAAACTAAAAGAGAATGTTTAATTTTATAAACTGTTAGAATAGAATCGGTAGGCAGCGGCTTGGCTCTGCCGCTGCCATTGCTGAAGTCCATGGGCGACGGTAACCACTCACCATCAGGTGGGCCGAATGATCGTCTGCCTACAAGGGCAATAAAAAAAATTCATGTTTATAAGCCGTTCAAAGTATAAAACGCATTTTCTTAATTTTGTTTTTATTTAAGTCACTTCAATTACAAAGTTCCGAAATAGTAAAGCATTTTACCGCAATCAAATTTTAATAATCGTAACAATCGTCCACAATTAAAGTAAAGAGACAACATTTTCCTCGAACGGTGCGGCGATAGAATTGAAACAAAAAAAAAACGTTTTCGTGACGGACGATTCTAATGAATAAATAAACGAAAAAAAAGACGATACGCTTGCAAGACAAAACAATAATCTGCGCAGTTGTCGTAAATACTAAATAAAACTATAATATGATACTTTAACAATTCTCTTTATTTATCTTATGCTTACTACTTTATATTCTTCGTAGTCACCGACGACTAAGCAGTTTAATATTCGTCTACATTTGATTATGCTAACATTAAAGTGTTTACGTAAAATGGACTATTGCAACGACCATTATTACTACTATTAAAGTTTTTTTCATCATGGGCTGTCTCTCCGTTTACGGCCCATAACTAATTAACACGAGGCTGACCACGTCTGGTCCCGTGCAAATTAAAAATGCTACTTTTTTTCCTACCTAAGCTGATAACCTTGAGAGGCTATTTCAGCGTAACCTTAACTAGTAGGTGAGCTCACGGGGCTCAAACCTGACGACGTTGCTAACACGAACCCTAGCAAGAGCCGTGCTTCGCAGAATCTACCACCGGATCGAAAACGCGAACCACTGAGAAGATCCGGTGAGAAACATAGGCTCTTATTTAGGGGAGTTTTTTACTGAAACTTACCCCGCAGCGACATAATATGCGGCTTTTATTATACCCTCAGCTGAACCGTTCCATTTGTATTTATTACCAACGACAGCTTCTTCCATATACGACACCGTGGGAGTCACCGGATTACCGGACTCCGCTTGCTCCCACGCTTTTATTAGGAATCTGTAAAAAAAAACAGTTTCTAGAACTTTAATCGTTTGAAAATTTAAGGTTTCTTATATGACCAGTTTTTGACGATATTATCCAATTACATATCAGCTGTCTTCGTTTTTATAGATATTGTGACTAAAATTAATGAGCATGTCTAAGAAGGGGACAGTGCTACACCGGTAAAAGTAACGCCATCTATCGCTAAATAGTCGAAATGAATATCAAAGGAACTAGTAACGTCGAGGGTACTCAAGAAGTACAACGCCATCCAACCAACAAAAAAAAAACGAACGGATCACCTGAAGCGAAGCGGAAGACGTAAATTAAGAATTTTAAAGTGTTCTAAGTGTTAATACAGTTTTAATTTGTACTTCAGTAGATTTTTTATTTATCCCGAGCTCCAGCGCGTAACAATATTGTAATTAGCGTACCTACCTGGCTGTTTGCAGCAACAGCACTGTGTAATCGCCCTCGTAAGTTCTAGTGGCCGTGACGAATGAATAAAGCAGCGGCAGATTAGACGAGAGCATGTAGCCGTGGCCTCCGCATGCCAGTCTGCACTGCTCGATGAGGGCTGCGGAATCCGATGTGCTCAGGGCCTTGAGACAGCTAGACAACGCATGCAACTGGAAATCGAGAAAATTTTCATTAACATGAATTGAATCTTGGTGAACTAGTAGAAAAGGCTGTTTAAATTTGGTATCGTTTTTGAATAATATGTACTCCTCTTTACGTCGATAATCCTCAACGCTGAAGCTCGTGGCCTTATTTAATAACTTTCTCCTGGATTATCCTGCCCCAGTCTGGCCTATCCAATACTTTGTACATTATTATCCGTATTCCATCAAGATTCGCCAGAACTACCGGTCCAGCGTTGCCCGCATCCAACGGATTCCCGCGACCTTCGTTAGTCCATCGGGCCCTTAACCCTACGCTATGCATATTAAACGCAATATACTTTTCTCTTTCAGTATATAAACAAATCGTAAGGACGCGGATTCGGGGCAGGTATATCAATTAAAATGATCGTAAGTTAATTTAAACCGCTGTCTGTTGATTTATTTCAATACAATTCACGGCTCAGCCGATGTTAGACGGGATCATATCGTCTACAAAATACAAAGTGACTGGTCTCCTACGTTAAAAAAAAACCGACAACTCACCCTTTGACCAGATATAATATATTGAGAGGTATTTTTCACACGATTTGCGAGAGTTTTTTCAAAGAATTCGAGTCCAGACGCAGAAATCTAAGGGACTTTAGCTTGGTGGTAAAAACGGTCTAGACTCATAAGTGTGGACATTCTTGGAAGTGACCACCGATTACAGAAATATATAAACACTCTTGGCTATCAATTAATTTACTGTTCTATATATTTCTTTCTAGGTTACCTACCTAATTTGCGTTTAATCTCAATATTTAAAGCGGTACCACCCACCGAATTTCTCGTCGGATCTTTTCAGTGGGTCGGGTTTCCGATACGGTGGTAGATTCTGCGAAGTACTGCTCTTGCTGGGGCCAGTGTTAGTAACACCTCCGGTTTGAGCCCCGAGAGCTCACCTTCACGCTAGGGTAACGCTGATATAGCCTCTCAAGGTTCCAAAGAAAAAAAGCGGCACGATTGTAATTCAGTAATTAATTAGGTATTTTAGTCTTCTTAGGTAGTTTAATTCTTTTGGGCGCTTCGTTGAAACCTGAACATTTAACTGATCGAGCTATTGAAATAAACACAATTAATTAGTAAAAAAAATGTGAACTTTTTTTTATTTTATTGCTTAGATGGGTGGACGAGCTCACAGCCCACCTGGTGTTAAATGGTTACTGGAACCCATAGATATCTACGACGTAAATGCGCCACCCACCTTGAGATATAAGTTCTAAGTTCTCAAGTTAGTTACAACGGCTGCCCCACCCTTCAAACCGAAACTCATTACTGCTTCACGGCAGAAATAGGCAGGGTGGTGATACCCGCGCGGACTCCTAAGAGGTCCTATCACCAGTAACTACGTAAACTAAAATTTGCGGGTTTGCTTTTTATTACACGATGTTATTCCTTCGCCGTGGAAGTCAATCGTGAACATTTGTTGAGTACGTATTTCATTAGAAAAATTGGTACCCGCCTGCGGGATTCGAACACCGGTGCATCGCTACACACGAATGCACCCGACGTCTTATCCTTTAGGCCACGAGGACTTAATGTAACAGAGGATCGTCATACCTCGGGCAAATTTTCCGTATTCCCGCCTCTCATATCAGCCAATACCGCACTGAAGGTCTTCCACAGCCAGTTGCTGCTCAATTGCAGAGCATGGGCCGTCGCTATGCAGACGAATAGTTTATGTTGCTGTGTCACGTAGTCTATAATTTGTGGTTCCGGCTCTCTGGGTTTCGTAAAATGAATAATATTTAAAACATAGCTATAAAAAAAATTAAAAATAAATAAAATTTTATCTAAATAGTCATTAAGTAGAAATAAAACCATAATTTAAAATAGTCTTAATATAAATTTATGTTTGTCTGCGTAAAGTACCTGCCATCGCATTAAATTTCACTAAAACAATGAAAGAAAAACCCACGATACTATCTTTTTAACGGTAAATACCTAAAATATAATATATAAATTATATTGACTTAAGTTCAAGTGAATTTAACTGGCTGAAGTTTTAAAATGAATAAATTCATCAACTAACGTCAACTGCGAACTACAGTGAATCACAAAAAAGAAACTGAATTCAAAACGTTTTTAATTCTCAAATTTGATAAAAATAAAGTTAAATAAAAAAGGCGCATCGTAATAACAACCTGAGATCGAAAATGGTGGTTCATTGAAAGTATTAAAACAATATACCGATATCGGGGCGTATTTGGGAGCTGACAAGTGTCAGTACCACTATCCTGCTTATTTCTACCACGAAACGATAATACGTTCTTTTCTGAAAGCTACTATACCACTCAATAGAAATTTCGACCATACATATATGTCTAAAGGAATGTGGGCGTAACGGCTTAGTATAATATATGTGAACTCTAGGTATCAATTAAAACCATTTGGCTGGTATTTAAATAGACACACAAACTTTTTAAATACCCCCACGGAACAGGCAAACCCCTCTACCCGGGCATGGGTCTTCACTGCCCTGCTGCAGTGAGTGTTGAAACGGGGGTGAGTTTGGAAGCGGGTGTGTGGGTTCGCGTGTGTTGTTCAAAGTTAAATGTTAATCTACCCAGAAATCTTCTCAGACTGTCTCCTCACGGCTGAATACCTAACGGCAATCGTTGCAGCTTTCGCCAAATTGAACGCTACTTCATTAACCAGCATCACCCTTACGAACACCATAGTTCCATAGGTCAGCTTACTGTGACTTGCGACTTTCACATAAGTGCCGTCCTGAAAAATGTTTAAAATCAGATAAATTTAGCTACCAACTACGGCCAACCGATTATTTTTAGCGTTGAATATGTGGTATTTCCACCCAGGCATATCTTTGGGGGCCGAATGAGCGTCATCGTGGCATGAGGTCTATATGCCGTTGATGGCGATTAGAATAGATACGGACATAGATTTAGAGGTCTCCCGGGTCCCGGCAGGGGAGAACTTTAAAATGCATATTTTCGAAAGATAACGTGATAACTCTATGGCAGTGTCTGGTATCTGAAGCCAAGAGCTACTTCGGTAATTGCAGACTAAACACATCACATTTGTAATCATGAATGGCTTTCATCGCGTAGTGTTAACACAATTTGTAAGCCTGTTTAAGTAATTTATACTTTAAACATATTGTAACCGTACCATAGAGTTTTTGGTACAATTTTTCCTTATTAGGAAAAGCAAGGGGATCTAAGCCCATACAGCCTTGTCTTAGATTGGTATCACCGTTTTTCATAGTTACGCTATGCAATTAATGCTTCGTTCTGATCTCATTGAACAACAGCAAATAATTGCTATTGGCATAAAGCTATACATCTGTCTGCATCTAAGCCGAGTGAAAAACCCCAGTTTTATTGCCTTACAGGATGCAGTGAAGGTTGACAGGACATTTAAATCAGGATCGCTATTTAAAATTAAAAAGCATTTCAATATGTTTAGAGGATATTAAAGTTCAGATTATTAAGGTTCAGTATTCAAGTTATTAAATTTTGCAATATTATTGACTACCTTCAGAACCTGAGAGTTTTTCATGAGCATGTGATTTCTGGGTATTCTGTAATGGTCGAAACCCAAAAATCCGTTATCGGCCGTATTAAAGCCCATCCTGGGACCGATTTCCCCCACTCTGACCCCCGGGAGGGGCATATGGGTATCCTCATCTCGGATCTGTACGATAAACGGATGGATACCGTAACACTTTCCTTGCGTATATAGCTGCGCTACCACAATGCAGTAGTTTGACGTCTTTCCCACTAGAATTCGAATAAAATACATTTTTATTTTTAACGACACACACATACGTACTAGATGTATGTATGTATGTGTCGACATTTAGCGTACTGATTTGCACCACACTGGACACGTCATTTCGTTGCGGAGAGGCTTCCGGAAAATATTAGGCATGGTACTGACACATGAGGAATGCAACTTGAAAAAGAGAGATAAGAACTTCCAGTATACTCTATGGTTTTTATAAATCTAAAAAAAAATGTTTTTCCTCAAAATATTTTCCTAAAATAGAAACGCATAATTTATGAAATATGGTTAATAAGGTTCATTAAAAAGGCGTCTCTAGCCCATGTAGCGTCCGCGTGCAGTAATCACCCTAGCGCTCTCTACTAGTAGTGAGCACGCGGTCAAAATTCAATAGGTACACCATCTCTGGTTCAATTCACTCTAATAATGGATATTTATAGCAATAACGATAGATTCATATCAAATACTAACTAATGTTTACGCGCCCTCAATGTACTGTATACTTAGTGCGAGTTTTTTAACGTTCTCGATAGCGTAAAAGTTAACTCAAATTTGTATGGAATTGGAACAGCGCCCCTAGCAGCAAACATAGGCAGACCTTTCGACATTTACCTCACCTAACCATACTCTACACCAAGTAGAGCCGTGAGCTCGAATGGCTCATACAGGCCATTTCTACATATTTATTAGTGCATTAGTCTCTGCAACTATATACAAAGAAACCTAAAGAAAGTATGTATGTAACTTACGTCCGCCTGCCCACCATTTGTACGAAGTCAGCCGAGGACTATGGATAACGAACTCTTCGGTATCAGGATCATACGTTGCTGTTGTTTCCAAACCTCTTATAAACGTACCGTGACCAAGCTCTGTCTTGAATTACAAAAGTAAGGCAGTAAGAATCCCAGATATTTGTCACACAATTAGTGAATTGCTAGGGTACTTACAAAGAAGCATTCGATATTTCTAGAATGTGTATCCAACAAGAAAAACCTAGTTTAATTATTCATAATGCACCTAATGGCCTCAATGAACTCTAAGCCATGTATTATGAATAGAATTTATTATGTCAAATAATCGCAATCGTAAATATCAGTCTTTATTAGCTTAGTTACAGTATGTATGTAACGTCATCTTCACGGACATCAAGATGTGCGGTTAATTAGAAAATGTATATAGAATATGGATATTGAAAATTTATATAGAAACCCTACCTATGCTGATAGCCTTGAGAGGCTATTTCAGCTTCGCCCTAACATGTAGGTGAGCTCTCAGGGCTCAAACCGTAGTGTTGTTAACACTGGCCCTAGCAAGAGCAGTGCTTCGCAGAATCTAGCACCGGAAACGCAACCCACTGAGAAGATCTGGCGAGAAACTCAATGGACTGTGTCTGTGGGTAAATTCACTCATCGAGCCCTTCGTCGCAAGCGACGGGTTCGGCGAGGACGGTGACCGGTGCTTGAGGTACCTAAAAGCACCGTTAATGGATCGGGAGGATCCGTAACGACGTGTAATGCAATAATTTTATAACTTCGCTTTAATATCCTGACCAGTATCGACAGGGTAAAAAAAATTATGAATTTTTTTTTTTTTTTTTATTGCTTAGATGTGTGGACAAGCTCACAGCCCACCTGGTGTTAAGTGGTTACTGGAGCCCATAGACATCTACAACATAAATGCGCCACACACCTTGAGATATAGTTCTAAGATCTCCTCAGTATAGTCACAACGGCTGTCCCACCCTTCAAACCGAAACGCATTACTGCTTCACGGCAGAAATAGGCGGGGCGGTGGTACCTACCCGTGCGGACTCACAAGAGGTCCTACCACCAGTAAGAATCTAATATAAGTTCGGTTTATTAATTAAGCCATCAGTTATAGCCCGATAAGAATTGTCTGTGAGCATAATTGCCTTGTTTACTTCATTAAAATATTTACCTGGGCGTATGTACCGATGATTTGAAAGTCTAAGGCCCGCGGTAACCAGTAGGATTGTTGTTCTGGAGTGCCTTGTCCCATGATGGTCGGTACAAACATGCCCAAGTGAAGCAAGAATGGGGAAATATCTTTGAAAAACGCATCTGCTGTTCTGCGGAGAACTGAAGAATTGGACCTGTACAAAAAAATAAATTCGTTTAACACTACGAAAATCTAATATTTTCAATACTTCATTAGACTACATTTACAGAAAAATTTTGCGATGGTGACCGTATTTTGATGAAACAATAAAATCTGTTATTAATGTTTCGGCTATTAACTTTAATCTACTTGGATAGTTTTAATAACTATCAATAGTTTACTTTAGTAATTCAAAGCATTTCAATATATTAATGACAAGCGGCCCGCTCCGGCTATTGCGGCATAACTGTTCTATAATAGTTAGACACATGCTGTCGCGACACTTTTTGTAAATAATAATAGGTTCTAAAAAGTCGTAGTACATTATTTTATTCTATCATCAATAGTTTTCGCAGGGCACACGATGTAAAGAATATTTTACGTAATTTTTTTACACCTTGGGTTACATTATTGGAGTTTTAGTAAAGTACCCTAAGTTTTTTCAAAAATATTGTAGCCTATGTCACTCGGCAATAGTGTAGCTTCAGCAAAATGTATACAGTACTCATGTATACAGACAACCGGAGCCACAGATTATTGAATACGTGACTCAACAACATGAGCTGTTCATTGCTGTCGCTACGAGTCACGTTTATCGAATCACTGGGCACTGGCTCTGGGATACTTACTACAAGGTCACCAGCGATTTGGATAAAGGGAAAGGATACTTTAGGTCACGACGACTTCACCAAAGAATATTATTGACAATTCCACGTCCACGCATTTTACCATGCAGTGATGCCTTCGGGATCTCGTAAACACATCGTACCGTGAATTTTTAGTACGTATTTAGTGAAATAAAGTCCGAAAAATCGGCACTTACCCCAATACCTCTAGCCCGGTAAGAGTCAACACTTGATCCTTAACAATTTTGGTGTACAAACAAGATTTCCGGATTGCATTCTCGTAGCGCTCTTTCGGGCCCAGGGTCTCTTCTGGAGTGACGTCACAACATTTGCCATTGCTCAATGCTATGCTCTCTGTGATACATTTGTGATATATTTTTTTACTGCTATCGAATTCAGATTAACCACTTTATCCCACTTTACTTTTACTATTTATCGATACTTCTCTAGATCCTTAATTCCATATCTATGGGACACTGCCAGGTCGCTGTTAATCGGTAAGAACTCCAAACTAATTTTTTTTTAATTGGTTAGTTGGGTGGACGAGCTCACATCCCACCTGGTGTTAAGTGGTTACTGGAGTCCATAGACATCTACAACGCAAATACGCCACGCACCTTCTCACATAAGCGACAAATTAGCACACTCGAACTTAGGTTACATTTGAAAAGAGAAACGTTTTAAGTTTATTGACTTCACAACGACTTCACAATACTTGATTGCGTCGCGGCAAAAATAGATAGTATGGCTGTACCCACTGACGCGAGACCACAACAAGCCCCAGCACTCGTGTTTACGCAAAACTCATTAATTGACAGAGTGTGATATTTAATATGGAAGTTGGTCGTTAATGTGTGCTCCATGCCTATGAAATTTGAATACAGTTCGGTAGCTCGATACACTGGGCGTCTTATTCATAAAGAGGGCTGTGACATTCACATTGCAAAACGCCTATGAGCTCTCTTATCCTCTTAGCGTCACGACCAAATTTTAATGATAAATTTCCGGAATTTTCAAATTTAACGTAATTCTTTACTATCATTAAATAATAAAAAAACAAACTTCATTACGATTTTTATCGCAATTTTCGCGAATCGTTCTTAAAACTACATTAATGTTTTGGAGGAGTCAATTGTCAAAAACAATACAGTTTTCGAATCGTCGTCGAAATAATGTAATAACGACAAATATAAAGGCGAGATTAAACCGTAAAAGTACTTTTAATTGAGACTTTAAAGGTATTATATTAGTGTTTATTTTAAGAATCGCATTTAAGGCGAGTTAATAAGGTCAACGACATTCAATTGAACGCCGCACAATACTGAAACTGCATGTTCACTCACCGATTTTTTTCCTTTGTTTCGTCCTCTCAATGCCGCCGTCCAGAATATTCGTGATTTCGCTTACATTAAAATCACACCTGGCCCTCTCTTTAGCTAGATCTTCATTCGCAGACATACTTAATTCCTTATTATCATCAATTTTCAGACAGTCTAATCGAAAATGACTGTACTCTTCGTAGTACGCAATAGGACTGAGCGAGTCGCGTCTGAAATTCTATTGCCTGCTTATAATTAAAATTTACATTTGTAAGTCATACAAAAAAACCTATTTCATTATTTACCATACGTAAACAAATGCAAGGTGCAAATAAAAAGTCTATTTTATTAATTACATCGAAACATGATTTAATTAATAAAATAACTTTTATTAAGGTTGATTAGCTAGGCCATATCGTCTTCTCGCATTAAGACTGTATAATATAATCTCAAAACTACTATATACAACTACTACTAATTTTACAGGAGAGTGTTTTAAAAGTTTAACGTGTGATATTTTTAATGTTAATCATCTTTGCAACATTTACTTTTTATTTTTTACCAGTTAGATCATCTGTCTTTTAAAGTAACATAAAATTCTTTATTAATTTTGTTAATAGTAGTCAAAACATAGGTAAACTAAAAAAAAAAAAACTAAACAACGGCTCTTTTGACAATATTTATGAGAAAAATACTGGTGATACCAAATGATTCCGCATATTAACTCAATTTTGAATATTTTTTGGAAATTGTACACTTTTAATGCTAAAAGACGATATGGGTCTATCTTTAATTAGATGTTTTGATGCACCATGCAATTTTATTTTTTGCATATTACACGTCCGCTAAAAAAACTTTAAGTTATTGATAAATTTCTTAAAAAAATAATGAAAACGTTATAAAAATTATGCTGATATGCATGTTACAGTTATTTATATAAAAAAAATAATAACAAAAATGTCGTATCCAATTCACGATATAAAATAATAAACAAAATTTTACAATCCTTCACAACGTGTCCCCATCAATCTTGTCCGTCTGCCTGTCTTGTGATCCGATTGTTAGAGATAATCGGTATTCGTGTCATTACGCTTTTGAATAATTTTGATCACATAACATGCGTCTCGGTATGAAATTATTTTTGTCTATAATAACACTGTAATACGTGACTACAATTAAGCAAGCTATTTACACATCTGTGCAAAGTTTGATTTAAATCGAATATACAATATACGAGCGCTTGCAAGACTTATTCATTATCACATTATATAGTTAAATATGCCAATATTGACTTTGTATGGAACGTTAAATATATTTTACGAAGTAGGGTTCACTGAAAAAATTGAGAAAAAAAATTACGACTTTTTTTATTGCTTAGACGGGTGGACGAGCTCACAGCCCACCTGGTGTTAAGTGGTCACTGGAGCCCATAGACATCTACAATGTAAATGCGCCACCCATCTTGAGATATAAGTTCTAAGGTCTCAAGTAAGTCTCAATAGTTACAACGGCTGCCCCACCCTTCAAACCGAAACGCATTACTGCTTCACGGCCGAAATAGGCAGGGTGGTGGTACCTACCCGCGCGGACTCACAAGAGGTCCTACCACCACTAATCGATTGATCGACTGAAGTTATTTAACGAGGGTAAAAGGCGATATTTGGTTTAAGCAATATTTCGTTTATTACGTGACATTTACCTTTGTAATTAAAGGTCCGTTTTATTTAGTATTATTATCAAAAGTTCGATGCTTTTAATTGAACTTAAATGAAGCTTACTCCATTCAAACAACTAACGAAGATTTTGTTAAAATGTTTTTTTTTTCAAAATTTAAACTTTAAATAGCTCTGCTGTTTAGTTGAAAAAATGTCGCTAAAATCAAATAGCTTTTCACCCCTATAATTATTATAACGGAATGTATTTCTAACGGAACATACCACAAATTTCTACTTCTACGAGAAAAAAGGTAAGAAAAGGAAAAAAGAATGCCAGAGAAAAGCAACATGGCGAAGACGATTGAACGACCAGGGCGTAAAAAAGGTGTCGGTTAATTTTTACATAAAATAACGGAGAAGATTTTGGAAAATAACAATAAAAGTGCAACAGTGGAATAGTTTTATTTTATGCGCCACGATCCCTCTACACTTATGTGTTTATTAATTAAACTCGACACTGGTAATAAAGGCATCGCAAGAAGGTGTTTGCCATACTGAAATAAATATATACCCAGACTCAAATATAATCCAAGACTGAGCAGTATTCCAACTCGGATCCTGTGGTACACTAGCCAAGGTATATACGACTGTATCTTTATCTATACTAATATATAAATCTACAGTGGTTTTTACGGATGTTCCTTTATAACTACTGAACCATGCATCCGATTGACTTGAACTTGGTATCCATGTAGAAAATACATGTACTTAATGGATGGGCTAATATTTATATGAGTGTTGGACTCCCTACACCAGTTGCGGGGGCGTTAATGATGAGAATCCTTGAGGGGTGAGAAACAATAATATTAATTTTAAATGCCCAGCGAAGCGGACGGGTACAGCTAGTCATCTATATAATCACTATATAAACAAGGCGATCGATTGGCACACCTATATAGTTTGGACTTTGCAATCTCTCAAACGAGAAGCATGTCCTACATTATCACACTTACATATGTACTTACATTACACATATTACATAACGCTATAAATATGATATACTTTGCGTTCGGAAGGTGACTCTTGGATAATATTTGGCTTAACGCGTACATGTTGATGATGTTTATCTAAATTGGGTGTATTTTGGCGCTGATAAACCGAAAAAAAACATATTTCCACGAAAATAAGGGCTTCTACAAAGACCCACAGTCCAAATAATCCAATAACCTCACAGTTTTTTTTATGTGTATGGTTCTCTTTTTAACTAACATCAAAAAAGTTGAGGTTATCAATTCGACTGTTTTATTATCTGTCTTACTTACCTAAGAACTTTTTTCTCGGTGGACCGATTTTGATACTGATCCTTTTGTTTTAAAACTAGTGTTTCCTATTAAAATTTTATCAAGATCTGATCAGTGGTTTTTGAGTTAACCTTAATGCAAATTTAATTCTATTCTACCGTATTAATGATAATTTTATTATGCTAGAACAGGTTTGCCTTTTTGTTAAAGTTTTGTATTACATTAAAATGCACATAAATATTTTACGTTATAAAATTACAAAAGTAATGAAAACATACAATAGTTAAAACAATTTCCTGACTATACCGCGCTTCATATTAGACAAACTTTAGCTACATAATAAGTATTATACTTAATATATTTTACTGACTCCGTGGTGTAGTAGTTACCACCCCTGACTGGTGCGCCGAGGGTCGAGGGTTCGATTCTCACATCGGGCAAACTAAATGTGATGAGTAAAATTGTTTACTCTTTGTCTGGGTGTTTATTATTTATATTTGTATATATTGAAATGTATATAAGTTGTCAGTCCCTGGTAACCATAACACATGGAATCCTAAATTGGGGCCGGATAAAATTCTTTTTTCTCCTACCTACGCTGAAAGTTCGGTTTTCATCACGCTATATAGGAAAGAAAATCTAACTTTTTCTACCTGGGTACTGACAAGTGCGCATGCGCGTTAGTGTCTACGTCTGCTCTCACGCACCTAAATTCTCCGCCATTGTTGTGCTCGGGTAATTTGCAATATTTATTTATTTATTTATTACACTTCATGTAAAATTTACATTGGCGGACTTAATGCCTAAGGCATTCTCTACCAGTCAACCAAAGGTAGTGCAGAGTAAAAGTGGTAGGTGCAATGAAATTTATATTAGGTAACGAATACATACAAAAAAGTATATCTACATATATACAAAATCACATATACATATACATACATACATACATATATACACACATACATACATATATACACACATACATACATATAATAGTTTATACAGTATTAAAAGGAATATATTAATAAATTTCCTTAACAAATAACTTCATCAAGTTCATGACGATTCCGCTAACTTTTCCAACAGCATTCGCCGAACCCTTAACTTGAACGTGCAGCGGTTAGTAATAGTCCTGATCTCGAGAGGAAGCGCATTCCATAGCAGAACAGATTGCACGACGAAAGAGTTACGAACATAACTAGAACTGTGTGTGGGACAACGAATTAATAGGCTATTGAGAGAACGTAGGGCCCGCTCATGGCTGGAGTGAAGATATTGAAAATAGGAAGTTAGATAGGAAGGAGGTTCGGGAGACATAAGTAAGGAATGAAGAGTCGTCAGTGCACGTAAATTACAATATTATGTTTAGTGTAAAAGTGAAATAAACAAAAGGCAATAAAATTTAATAGTGAAGTATTAAACAAAGATGTGTTCATCAGACAGTTCTTATTCAATTAGTAGTAGTTCATTTAAAAATTAAAAAACAGTTAAATTGTTTTTTTATGGGTGAAGGCGCTCCGCCCCCCCAAACCCCCGCCAGAGCTTCGCCCCTGGACACCGGCTCGGTACTCCACGGGTGCTAAGTTTTTTACAATGACGAACTTTCGGCCTGGTAGGAGAAAAAATAGAATGTGCACCGCGGGAAAAAGTAGGATAATATGTCATCCCAGGGAAGAAATGTCCAACTTTTCTCCCTTGGTGCACAATGTACTATATTTTGCCCAAACGGGTAATTGAAACTAAAACAAAATATAAAAGTATAGTTTATTACGAAAATAGTCAAGAGCATGTTTACAGTTTCGCAGTCATGAAAGGTTTGAGGTACTGGTGGAAGGATCTGTTAACGGGCTCCGCGTTGAGAGGACTCTTCAGCGCCTCCTCCATCAGGCGCTCGTACACGCGCCCGTCGTACGCCCCCAGTGTGGAGTTCAGAATCTGTAACCAACAATATAATAGCCCTTTTTTTGTAGGCAAAGTTAATACAATGTATGCTGGTCTATCTTTTATGGAATCCATTCACCCCATGTCCAAAGATCTTCACGCTTGCTATTAACAAGTACTGTTGACTAATTAAATTCACCTAATAAATTCATTTAAATTACGTATTGAAATAACAATATGCTAATAGAGCAAAAAAGTCACCGCAGTCATTGACATTGAAGCAAATTCGTACTTGGAGCAAAGCCGATACGGACGTCTGATTCTGCCGCTGATCGTGGGATAATCGTGAAGGAGAATTCATTTATAATTATGACGAGTAAATCGACACAAAACCGTTCTCGTGAAAATATAAACGGAACACCTTCATATAAATGTAATTTACATTATACCGAAAAGAAATAATTGTGTAAGATTTATTATGGAACTCAATCTATTCAGCATCGAAACCATTGTAGTGGTTATAAGGTAATCAAAATCTCTTCTAAGCAAGATAAAAACTGCACAAATTAACAAAATAATACGAAGAAAACAGAATGGATTTAGACAGCCTTAAAAATTACCAGATTTTTTTATGTATTACTAACTAGTAGTAGTTAACCAGTGAATAAGAAAAACTCAAAATGTCACTAAATATTAACCCTTTACAGCCCTAAGACTAATGTAAGGCTAAACTATATGTCCAATACGTTTGGACTCAAAGTGTTAAGTTGTAATTTGAAAATAAAAACAATCCCGATATTATGAAATGGAAATGATGCGCATGATAAAAACATTTCAAATATTGAAAAACACAGAATATCCTAAAAAATGAAATACACGTTAAGGTACGACTTATCCAAAAGGAAAATCATCAATCATAACAGAAAAGAGAAGTCAGGAAGAATAGTCAAAAACCAAATCACTAAATGAAAAAATATATCAACAATCTTGTGAAGAGAGAAATTTGAGATTCCAACAACAACAAAATGGACGAAACGAATTTCAAAAGAACTAGTAAAATCGAGAACGCTCTAGAAGTACAACGCCATCTATTATCAAATAGCGAGAACACATATCGAAACAACTCGACAGGAATGTTCTCGATAGTTGTAGAGATGTCGTTTCGACTCTATAAGCGTTGTAGACATGACACGAAAACAATTAGTAATCGGATCTACTCGAAGCAAAACAGCGAACGGAAGAAGTTGATTGAGAATTTTAAAGCATTCCTTATGTCTTTTAAGTGTCTAATAGTGTTTTAATTTGTACTTCAGTGGAAGTTTTATTTATCCCGAACCCCAGCTTTATGAAGAGACCAACTGGCTATCGAAGCCGGTAGATACCCAAACTTAAATGCCGATTTGTTTGAATCGAAGCGGTCTCACGAAAACATTAAACGGTTTACAATTTGCCTGTCAAAGATCATTCAAGCACTTTTGATACGAACCTCGTCTCTGATGTCGAAGCCGTCCACTAAACCGACTGCGTTAGGTCGAATTACTGCCAGCAACTCTTCATATCTCTGCTGTAGTTGCATAACGTCATCCTTTTGCATTTTAGTATACTGAAAACAACAAAACATTTATATAACACTAGCGACCCGCCCTCGCTTCGCTTCGGAAACATTAAAACACACATGAAACAAAAAAAAAAATTAAAAAAAATTTTAAAAAAGTAGCCTATGTTCATCAGGGACAATGTCGGCTTCTAATGGAAAAAGAATTTTTCAAATCGGTCCAGTAGTTTCGGAGCCTATTCGAAACAAACAAACAAACAAATCTTTCCTCTTTATAATATTAGTATAGACTAGCGACCCGTCCTCGTTTCGCATCGAAAATGAGATGTCTGATTTTTTTCCTACTTACTCGATACTTATCAGTATATTTTACGTTATTCACAATAAGTATATGTTTATAAATTATAGCCTAAGTGTTGCTTTGATGTGTCAGCTATATTATTGTAAAGTTTCATCAAAATCCATATAGTAGTTTTTGCATGAAAGAGTAACAAACATATATCCATATATTCTTACAAACTTTCGGGTTTATAATATTATAAAAGTAGGATAATCGAAAAAGAAAAACCTCGTGCCCTATTTTTTAGACATTTTCGATTCAAAGCACTTTTTATATAGGTAGGAAAGTTTTACTGTCATCACGATTAAAGCTAATAAATGAACTCCAAGAGGAACCCCAGTAGTTAAATTTACATTTACTCCTCAACAGATAAGGCGAAATGATAATATAGTACGATAAATATACCAATATAAATACCAATGATAAATTAAGTCGTAGGAAATGCAACAGAGATTTCAACGTATCAAGATGAAAATCGGCAAACAAGCTGTATTAAAGTCTGTAAGCAAACCCATCTATAGCAATAAAATAAACCTTTCAATGGTCGTTCGTTCTATGTCGACTGATTTGTGTGTCTTTTAGGAAGGCATTGAAAATACTGACATATTAAATGCATTATCTATGTTTTTTTTTTATGAATGAGGGATTACTCGTGGCCCAGAGGCCTTTCCAGTTTCACGAGGACAGGTGGGCATTATCTATGATACTGACTGCAGCCAGTCACGTTCATGTTCCTTTCATTTATTTTGTTTCTTTCCGAGTCACACCTGTTAAGTCTCTGTCTTAGTCTATGTCCAGTATTTTTTATGTCGTATATCCTGTCAAAGAGGGTGCACGCCACGACAACTTTAAATAAACTTTTATACTGACCACTAGAAAGTCTCCCTTTTTCTCCAACGCCCAATAAATAATGTACAATTCAACCAGTTCCAGCAACACCTTCGACAGAGCAGGGGAGAGCGATTTTGTGAGTCGCTGCGCTTCAAGCCAAGATTTCTCGCAGATAATCACCCGGCAATGTGCCTGCGGACATAATAACAAGTAACGTATACTGGAAAAAACAACAATAAGATTGTTCTGACATTCAAATTGTATTATAATACGATTGATTTTGTTTAAAACTACCTCACTAGCTCTCACAAGTTGCACGGAAGCCTGATTCCAAGAATCTTCGTAATCTAATCCAGTCTTTTCGTGTTTCTCTATTTCATCGTAAGCTGCCTTTGTTAATCTAAAAACGAAAGCATTATTATTATTGACGGATTTTCAAGTTTCTTGGTCACATGTTTAGAAAAGAGGAGAAGATGGAATGGCATGGACACGTGATGAGACAATATGATAATGAGGTTGTTAAGAAAGTTTTAACTATGAATGAGGAAAGGTTTAGAGGAAGAGATAGACCTAAGAAAAAATGGATGGATTGCGTGAAAGACAATATGTGTAAGAGGGGTGTGAGCGAAGAAATGATATATGATAGAGGAATGTGGAAGAGGAAAATATGTTGCGCTAACGCCAAGTGACGATGATCAAGAAGAATGATGACTCGATGGACAGACTAGTGTTTCAAGGCCAAAGATCGCGCGGTCAATCACCAACTGGACTGATCTGATAAAGAAAGTACCTGAGTCCACCGTGGTTCAGTGTACTTCAAAATGCCTCAGACCCCCAGAAGCACAACGCCAACTGGGCAATCCTCGAAAACAATAGTGACTTAATGCCGCCGCGTGTACATCATCAGCGCAACTATGACCGCTCTAACAAGAGTCCGATAGAGAAGAGAAAACGTCTGAACCATAAAAATCAAATTAGCTTTACCCTGCTGCGATTGCCTGGAACCCTATGACGATGCCTTCGGGAGTATTCTGCCAATTACGATTACTGTTCTTGTCAAAGTCCAACAGATAGGCCACAGTTGATGTTATCGCTTTACCAGACAATGCTTGCTTCAAAGTCTTCATAAGATATCTAAAAGACAACGCCATTAAATTAAGGGTAATTATCCTCTAGTTAATTCACTGCGAATTATGTTGCTCAACTTCCAATCTCTATTACATTTAAATGCTTAACATATTTACAGATTCTGTGTCGAACTATTGGTGGCCAAAATTGATGTACTTTTCTGTTTAAAAAAGATTATTTTAAAAATAAATTTATTTTTAATACACGAGCCGCCGTGATAATATAGCAAGTACAAAAATATTGACCCTTTCTTCTGTGTCTTGCAATTTCTTGTTTTCAACAACAATCGCCACGAAACAAAACAAAATGATACCTAATTACAAATTTTCTACGTCACCTTGCAGTTTGCAGCATCATAACCGTGTATTCTCCTTCGTAAGTCACACTGGCCGTGACGATGGCCTGAATAAAAGGGAAGCTTGAAGACTTCATGTATCCGTGTCCACCGCAAGCCAGCCTGCAATCGTCGATGTGGATTGAGGCGTCTCGAGAGCAGACCGCCTTGAGACAACAGGAGACTGCGTGGAGCTGAAATACGTATATTGTATTGCGGGTATAATTTATATTAATAAACTAGAGACCCGCCCTCGCTTCGCTTCGGAAGGATTAAATTTTATTATTGACTAGCGGCCAGCTCCGGCTCCGCTCGGGTCTTTAACAAAAATTTCAACGATATTTGACGTTGTTTTATTTTTTTTAATAAAAGAACACTTCTTGCGGCATAACTGTAACAGTTAGACACATGCTGTCGCGACACTTTTTGTAAATAATACTGTGTTCTACAAAGTAGTAGTACATTATTTTATTTTATCATCAATAGTTTTCGCAGGGCACGCGATGTAAAGAATATTTTAGGTAATTTTTTACACCTTGGGTTACATTATTGGAGTTTTAGTAAAAATCCCTAATTTTTTTCAAAAAAATTATAGCCTATGTCACTTGGGAATAGTGTAGCCTCCAAACAGTGAAAGAATTTTTCAAATCGGTTCAGTAGTTTCGGAGCCTATTCAATACAAACAAACAAACAAATTTTTCCTCTTTATACCTAGTCAGGTCATAAATTCTGTCACATGTTTAATGTAAAATAATTGAAACAAGTTTATTCATTATGTAACCATTCATATACCAAAATGAACTTAACAAAACATAGATTCTTATGACACTAAAGTTTATTCAAAATGACCTCCGTGACTTTGAATACAGGCCTTCAATCTGCGCGGCCAGTCGTCTATCGCAGTACGAACGAGGTCCATGTCAATATCGGCGGCTGCCTTAATCAAGGATGTCTTGAGTGACTCCAAATTGGGATGAGGCTTTGAGCACGCCTTTTCCTCCAAGTGTTGCCATATCTTGTAATCTAACGGATTCAAATCTGGACTGGAGGAGGGCCAGTCTTCGTGCTGGATGAAGTCGATTTCACGCGCCGCCAGCCAGTCTTGTGTGCTCTTCGCTCTATGNGATCGTCCAATACTGCGTTCCCTTTTCCTTCCTTTTAGATTGCTGATGCGACGCCGTTATCTTAATGATGACTTGGCACGTCGAATGAGGCGGAACGCGTGTCTGCTGCTGCTTCGCTGCCGGGTCCAGCGATTGTCCAGTACTGCGTTCCCTTATCCTTCCTTTTGGCGTAGATTGCCAATGCGACGCCGTTATCTTAATGATGACTTGGCACGTCGAATGAGGCGGAACGCGTGTCTGCTGCTGCTTCGCTGCCGGGAATGTGACCTTTCTCGAAAAGGAAGGTCTTGTCAATACTCATTATTGGGAGGTATCTTCAGAATGTTGTTGCATGCTGTCAGCGCGCGGTGCCGGTAGTAGTAAATGTTTTGGCTAGCTTGCTGTGGCGAACGCGTCAGGCGCCGCGACACAATGAAATACGTACTTAACAATTGTTCGCAAAATTATAATTTTCGTAATAACTGCTAGTAGAAAGTCTTGTGAGTACGCACGGGGTGGTATCACCACCCTGCTTATTTCTGCCATGAAGCAGTAATGAGTTTGGGTTTTAAGAGTGAGGCAGCCGTTGTATTGTACTGAGACCTTAGAACTCATATCTCAAGGCGGGTGGCGGCACTTACGTTGTAGATTTCTATGAGCTCCGGTAACCACTTAACACCAGGTGAGCCGTGAGCTCATCTACACATCTAAGAAATAAATAATAATAAAAAAATAATGTTATTTGAATATGTATCAGAAAAAGAACACACATTTGTTTTAATACTATTAAAATTTACAGAACGTAATTTTATTCGGGGCACAATGTCAAGACACAAGTCAACGCATTGTTTGAAAAACTGTAAACATAATAAGAAGCTGACGTAAATATTTATGTTCGTGAATCACAATTTATTTCCCTACCTATTCTAGCAACCTTAAGGGGTTATTCGAAATTCACCGAACTAGTAGGTGAGCTCGTGGGGCTCAAACCTGCCGTTGTTGCTAACTTTTTTTTTTCTGAGACGCTATATCACCTTCGCCCTAACGTGTAGGCGAGCTCGCGGGACTCAAACCAGAGTGGTGCTAACACTGGCCCAAGCAAGAGCAGTGCTTCGCATTTCTAACACGAACCCTAGCAAAAGCCGTGCTTCGCAGAATCTATCACCGGATTGAAAACGCGACCCACTAAGAAGATCTGGCGAGAAACTCAGTGGGCTGTGTCTGTGGGTTAATTTATTCGCCGAGCCCTTCGTCGCAAGAGACGGGTTCGACGAGAACGATGACCGGATTTTAAGCTATACCTTGGGATCGTTATTTGATTCGGTACTAGTTTTCACCGAATGCTAGCAATACAACCCTAATCACGGACACCTTCAAGGTTTCGATTAATTTTATATTTACAAACCATATATCATCTACTTTTCTTTGTAATTGACAGTTTAAAAACTAATTAATAACTAAGGGAATATTTCTAATATTGATACACAAAATCTCGTCAAGAGTTACGAAAAAATCGGTTGACAAACAAAGGAGGAAATAGTACTCAGTTAAGTTTTGTGTTTTTGCTTGTTTGGATCCTTACTACGAACACAAGACTGCCGTGCTAAAGACCGATATTCAGGAGAACTAAGCTATTAGCCAGTTGACGAGAAGACGTGTTGAATCACAATCGATGAAGAGCGCAAATTTCGATGGACAAAATCTAGTTAGGTCACCAACCAAAAAGCGGAATCAGGGCTATCCAAAACAATTTGGGATCGACGCATTTCAACTGACTTGAACTCGCAGCCTCAGCAGATTCAGTTAGTAAGCGGGATTTCAAGAATAATGGTTTACTTACAGTAACAGTACCGAGTGGCATGTATTCGATAAATACCAGAATTGAAAGTAAGCTTGTTGAGCCTGTTTATCGCTTACAAAAACAATTAGAACTCGTTCCTTGGCTAGCAAATCTTTTTTATAATAAAATCCCCACAGCTATGTTAGAACTAAAGTTTAATAATTTTAAAACCCAAAGTAAGCTAATACTAACATAATAATGAAGACTTATGACGCTGCGACTGTGTGGACGTTTGGATTTGTCCAAAGCAATAGTCCGAACAAATGTTCGGTCAGTGGCCAGTAATACAGACCTGTTACTTCTGATTCAAAAAACTATCGTTTTTTTTAATTGCTTAGATGGATAGAGAAGCTCACATCCCACCTGGTGTTAAGTGGTTACTGGAGCCCGTAGACATCTACAACGTAAATGCGCCACCCACCTCGAGATATAAGTTCTAAGGTCTCAGTATAGTTACAACGGCTACCCCACCCTTCGAACCGAAACGCATTGCTGCTTCACGGCGGAAATAAGTAGGGTAGTGGTACCTACCCGTGTGGACTCCCAAGAGGTCCTACCACCAGTAATTACGCAAATTATAATTTTGCGGGTTTGATTTTTATTACACGATGTTATTCCTTCACCGTGGAAGTCAATCGTGAACATTTGTTGAGTACGTATTTCAGTAGAAAAATTGGTACCCGCCAGCGAGATTCGAACACCGGTGCCTCGCTCGATACGAATGCACCGGACGTCTTATCCTTTAGGCCACGACGACTTCAAATCGTGTTTAATGTAAATATTTGGAAACAAGTAAGTCCTGGGTTTCTTGCTAATTCTTCTCAGTGGCGAATCAATATTCCGAATTCTGTTTCCGAATGTGAAGGCCTATCCTATCAACTGCCATCAACTCACCCCGGCTTCGGTTGCGACTGGTGCCGGACGACCGAGTACCTGACAGCGACGGTGGACGCTCGGGCCAATTCGTACGCCATATCAGTCACAATCAGAACGCGTATCAATACCATCGTGCCATAAGTCAACTTCTCGCTTTTCGCTTTTACATAGGTCCCGTCCTGGAAATCGATTTATGTTTTATATTTATCGAATATATCGTTTTAGCCTATACAATATATAAAAATGAATTGCTGTTCGTTAGTCTCGCTAAAGCCCAAGAACGGCTGGACCGATTTGGCTAATTTTGGTCTTGAATTATTTGTGGAAGTCCAGGGAAGGTTTAAAAGGTAGATAAAGATGAAAATGCTCGGAATTAAATAAAAATAACAATTTTGTTTTTCCTTTGATGTGTCCCCCGTCGGACGGATTACTTTTGTTTGTTTAAGTTTATTTTGATATTAAGTCATTAAGTTTATTAAGATTGAGGCACTAAGAAGTCTGCCGGGTCAGCTAGTATTTTATAAATTATAGCCTTGATTGAGATACAGATGAGATAAGCATAAATTATCACTGCTACTAAGCATTGCACTTATCTCCTATGAAACAGTTTCTACGTAACATATTACACTCATTCAATTAGTTCTGGTTATAAATGGCTTATGAGGCGGGCTTCTGTCTCGCCAGTTTGTTTTTAATCTTGAATAAATGATAACAAATATTAAGCGCATTTAATGAAACTCTTCGTTTCTTAGTTTACCTTATTATACGTGTTCTAATGGTCATTTTTATGTGTACCTTCAGAACTTGAGCATTCTTCATCAGAAGATTAGTCCTCGGTATTCTAACTTTATTGAAGCCAAGGAAACCATTGTTGACCGTGTTGTAACCAAGCTTCGATCCAATTTCGCCAATTTTGATACCAGGCATCGGCATGTGCGTTTCCAAGTCCCGAATTTGCACGAGGAACGGATGAACACCATAGCACTTTCCTTTTGTGTAGAGTTGGGCTACCACAACGCAGTGGTTGGCGGTGTGGGCCACTGAAATCCAACATTTATTGAATAAATGCATAAGCCTAAAGCGTAATAAAAACAATGAACCATTAAAAACACTGCTACACTTCACAAATCGAACCCTATCACCCATCACCATCATCTTATCATTTCATTATCTCATCACATCATAAATCATCGCCTCAACCACATCACTTCATCGCCATCTAATAATAGCCAGCAAGCATAATCATCACCCCTGCCTCGTTGGGCGGGGAGTCCAAGCCCGGGCCGAGAGGAGTGCCCCGAGGCCCAATCCAGGCGAAGACCCAACGACGCGATCGAGAAGCTAAAAAACTCGTAAACACACAGAATAAAAAATGTTCGACAAGAATCTAGATCGCACTTCGCCTGGATATTTGGTAAGTATATATTTCAACTTATTTAATTATGTAGGTACATCTCTGGTCACAAGGAATCGTAGTGTGGAGCCAGTTGGCCGTGTTTTTTAATTTTTTTTTTATTGCTTAGTTGGGTGGACGAGCTCACAGCCCACCTGGTGTTACGTGGTTACTGGAGCCCATAGAGATCTACAACGTAAATGCGCCACCCACCTTGATTTATAAGTTCTAAGGTCTCAGTTTAGTTACAACGGCTGCCCCACCCTTCAAACCGAAACGCATTACTGCTTCACGGCAGAAATAGGCAATCGTGAACATTTGTCAAGTACGTATTTCATTAGAAAAATTGGTACCCGCCTGCGGAATTCGAACACCGTTGCATCGCTACATACGAATGCAACGGACGCCTTATCCTTTAGGCCACGATGACTTGTGTGATTTTTCCCAATTATTGAATTTTAGGACCGGCAAAAAATGCAGCAGCCTTCCAACAACGCGGTAGGTACGCAGTATTCTAATAGCGGGAGTTGATACAAATGGATTACATCGACATAATTGGTCTAAAAATAATATCTCAAACAGGAATTGATCTATGTATATATTCGACCCGGACTCTTAAAACATCAGTAGAGGCTTGGTTAATTGTTAAATGAAAACATCTTACATCCACCGGGCCACCATTTGAATGAAGTCAGCGTTGGTGTGTTCAGTATAAACTCTTCGGCTTTCGCGTCGTAAGTTGCTGTCGTTTCCAAGCCTCTCAGGAAGGTGCCGTGACCCAACTCGGTCTGAAAAGGTATGAGAGAGTCATGAGAATTTCTTCACTTCTAATACTAGGACTTAGCTCAGAAACTGCGTACTGGAAACGATTTTGACAGAATAAGCAGTGGTGGATTTACACTAGGGGCAGTCGGGGCAAGTGCCCAGGGCGGAAAATTTTTTAGGGCGGCAAAATTTTGAAAGTCATTATTATTTTTTTGTCTTAACAAGATTGCTCAATATAATTAATTAATTCTATTAATTAATAATTTTCTGTTTAATTGATAATTCAACAAATTCAATTCATTCATTATTTATGAATTATAATACTGGCACTTCTAGTAAAAATTAATAATCAAAATGATTTAATCAATTTATTTCCTTGGACATTTAAAATAATAATCGATTTGTCCATTTTCTGGAATTAAAGAAATATTAATTAGTTTTTTTTTGGATGTAATATATGCAAAATTTAAAATTGTTAGAGAAAAAACAAATATTGATTAATGTTTTTGGAATATATAAGTATAACATATGATAAAGTTTCTGTAAAAAATTAGTTATTTTAATTTTGAAAAATAAAATATGTAAATTATAAGTTTAGGTAAAATTCCAGTATTGGGGCGGATTTTTTTCCGGTGCCCAGGAGCGGCATTAAGTCTAAATCCGACCCTGAGAATAAGTGTAGGAAGCTAGTAACAAGAGTAAGAGTAACACACATGGCAATACAAAAACAATTACTAAATCATACATATGTCGTATTAAATTTAACAAGATAAACAAACAAAAAAAAAACCGTAAAACTATTAATCACGTTTGCAGAACTTCGTGAAAAGAAGACAATGTACCTAGATAATAAATGAATAAATGATAAATTGCATACTGGCGGTAAGACCTCTTGTGAGTCCGCGCGGGTGGGTACCGCCACCCTGCCTATTTCTGCCGTGAAGCAGTAATGCGTTTCGGTTTGAAGGGTGGGGCAGCCGTTGTAACTATACTTGAAACTTATATCTCATGGTGGGTGGCGGCATATACGTTGTAGATGTCTATGGGCTCCGGTAACCACTTAACAGTAGGTGAGCTGTGAGCTCGTTCACCCATCTATGCAATAAAAAAAAATGATAAATTGCGTACGATCATAAATAAATCACCTGTGCATAAGTGCCGATCATCTGCATGCTCTGCGCTTTAGGGACCCACTCGGCTGCTTGTTCAGGAGTGGTTTGATGCAAGAGCGTCGGCAGGAACATACCCATGTGAACCAGAAACGGTGACACATCCTTGAGAACTCCGAACTGCACCCGGTACTTGTTTGTTGGACTGCGAATGACAAATTTAATCAAATGATAACGCCGGTAAGAGTAACGCCATCTATCGCCGAATAGTCGAACGAATATCGAAGGATCCAGAATGCTCGAGAATTACAACGCCATCTATTGTCAGATAGCGGAAATTGCTAATAGAGAGGTGTGGAATATTCTCGATGATTCTAGGGATGAGTAGATTCTGCGAAGCACGGCTCTTGCTAGGGTTTGTGTTAGCAACGTCGTCAGATTTGAGCCCCGTGAGCTCACCTACTAGTTAAGGTTACGCTGAAATAGCCTCTCAAGGCTCTCAGCTTAGCTAGGAAAAAAAAAAGCGGTACATAACCGTTACAACACCGGACAAATCTCTCACATCTTACCTGAATATGTCCAATAAGTTGTGCGTCTCGAAATATTTCTGGAGAATTTTAAACAATAAACTGGCCTTTCGGATTGCGTTCTCGTAGCGTTCTTTGTGACTTAAATATTCTTCGGGAACTTCATCCTTCAACTCTTTGACACTAAGCACCAAATCCTCTGCGGGATGAAAAGAAACAAGCAAAACATGTAACGAAAGCTTAAAGATTATTGAAGTGAAACTTCTTTAGAATCGTTGTGATTTCAAACTCGATGAAACGAAAAAATAAGTCCATAGAGACACAAACACATAAATGTATAAGATTCAGCCGGCGAGAGAATGAGATAGAACACATTAGACGTTCTCAGTGTAGTGTGTTTATTTTAATACAACGCTATCTATGAAAATTTTAATACTAACGTGTGTATGAAACCTCTTGTAGTGAATTTTAATTTAGGATGATACGTAAAGTTAAAATATCAATTCACAGAGGGCGCTACCTCATACTATAAAAGATGATTTACAATTATTTACTAATGACAAAATTTTATCTATACTTAGACATTTAGGATAATTGTATTTTAATTTTTGAAGGTTTCACTTCTACCACGTGTGAATTGCACACATGTATTTTTTTTACTGCTGTAAAGCTGCAGAAGAAGTCGCTTTCCGCTTTATATTAAGTAGTTATTGGAATACATAGAGACGTAACATGGCGATTTCCACGTCTGTTGCATGAAATCGGACTGGGTCTACGGTGTTTCATTGAATTGAAAGACTCTGTTGAAGTGCCCGATTTTAAAAGTAATAAATAATAATAATAATAAATAAATTAAAGAATGATAAGATAAAGAAAATAAAGTTACTATTTTCGCTTTCGTCGACTCGGAAAGTATAATAAATTCAAATTATCGCTACAACTTGATCCTTGTACCACTCACGACCAAAGTTAATATAAGTAAAAATGATAAACAAATAAAAGTATTCGATTAATATAAACCATACATTGCGGCGAATATGAAAATTTTGAGATAATCGCAAAAATAGAATAAATAAATAATGAGAAAAAACACAAGGGTTCATTTAAAAAAAAAACTTTTTTCAATATACTTTCGGTGTTTAGAGCTACTTCATACTGTGTATTATATATTATATTAGTTATAGTATATTAATAACCGGAACTTTAATTACAGAGTCAACTATTGCGCAGGAATATAAAATATTCTTCTAATCATGTTTATAAATATTTAACAGCAAAATAAAATAAAAAAATCTAGTTTAAATACTAAAAAAACACGCTGAATTGGGAAAACTAACTAACAAGGTATTTCATCTTTTTTTATCCTACTGATACAGGTCAGGATATTAGAGCGAAGTTTAAATTGTTATAAATTATTGTACTATCATAACTTGAAGTCGACGTATTCAAGTCGGTGAAAATAATGTTCAAAGAATCCGTTACACACAAATCAACAACAAACGTTAATAAGTTAACAAAATGATTTACCCAACTCTTTCCTCTCCAAGGTGTGTTCCTCTCCTCTGTCAATGAAATGCACCAGTTCCTGTACGTCAAAGGTACATTTCTGTCTCTCTTTGACCAGATCAGGGTTCACGCTGCTCATTGTTGTGCTTTAAACTTATTTTGGCGTGCGTTCACAATAAATAAGTCTACTAAACTAATCAGCTGGACTTTGATTATCAAGAAATAAAGAATTTTTACCTTGATACGTAGAATAACAAATTTACCGCGATTTATCATCATTTATCTAGTCTTATCAAAAGAATACAAGTTATGAAGCCAGAAGTACTCTTCATTGACTTGTATCTTGGATTTCTATGTACATTGATGTTTAGAGGAATTGTTTTTTTTCTATTCCAGGTAAACACAGTATTTTAACCTAAATCACAAAGCTACTTACACCATTTACTGGTCATATACTGGTGGTGGGACGTCTTGTGAGTCCGCACAGGTAGGTACCACCGCCCTGCCTATTTCTGCCGTGAAGCAATAATGCGTTTCGGTTTGAAGGGTGGGGCAGCCGTTGTAACCATAATGAGACCTTAGAACTTATATCTCAAGGTGGGCGGCGCATTTACATTGTAGATGTCTATGGGCTCCAGTAACCACTTAACACCATGTGGGCTGTGAGATTGTCCAACCCACGAAGCAATAAAAAAAACATCGAAAATGAAGTTTCACTTCATTCACGTGCACCAAGTTGCACGCGCACCGTTTTTATTTATAATAATGTCACATTTGTTTGTACGTAGTCTTTGATCTCAAGTCTCAGTGGTGAATGGGCTCATAGTCCACCTGCTATTGAGTGTTCACAGGAGCTGACGTGATGTGAAATTTTTTTATTTGTGTTATATCAAGAATAAGTAGGGGGAGGCTACATATGAGAGTAGTAATATTTTGTTCAGTCCAACCTAAACTGACAGATTGGTGAACACCTAAGTTCCTCGTAGTTCTCGCAAAGGTTTTTGATTTTTAATGAATATGATCCAACAGTAAGCCGAGTGTGAAAATCAACTATTGAGGCACCATAAAAACTCACAATGACTGCTTAAAAAAATTCAAGATTAACTGATAACACTACGGTATTAGTGTATTATGTATTAGGTAATAATGGTCAAAGGTTACATATGATACAATACACATCGAATTTTAAAATAATAGATATGAATTTATATATTCATAATAATAATATGATAACAGCATTCAATATGATAATTCAAATGTTAAAGAGTTACGGTTTTAAGAAGAATCGCTTCTTCAAACTTAACGAGCTTGTTTTTTTTAACGAAAATAAAACAGACTACAAAATTCGAAACGAGAAAGACAACAAAACGGAAATGGAACTTATTGGCAATACTGACGGAGATTGATTATGATAAAATAATTTGTCTGGAAGAAAGAAAAACGAATTTCGGAAGTTCTCAGCGGTGGGCAGCGGTTTTATGATGACTGAAATCGGTAAAAAGACTAACGGCGATCACAAATTAGATGCTTGGTAATAGATCTTTGTATACGCATCATAGAGAAAATCTAATCTTCCTGAAACATAATACGTAAGCGCCTATTAATCCGTGCATAGTTTTTTTCCCTAATGGTCTCAATTCAAACTATTGATTCATATATCATAATGAAAAACATACCTAGTAATAAATATATTCATCTAAAACCAAACTGCGACATGGGTCGGTAATAGAAATAATAATTGTAACAATTGTTCCTATTACCGCCACTTTTGTGTTTATTAAATTATTAAGAAGATATTATTAAAAAATATTTAAACATCATTATAACGCTTTACGATTATATTTGTTACTAAAAACGATATAAGTATACTTACGCAATCGGGACCCGGATACTATGAAATTTGCGCTGTCTCCGTAGTCCAACAACGAACAAGGTAATTATTCTTTAATTCATGAGCTTAGGAATACGAGCAAGCTATGTATATTTTCAATACAAATACATCTTTACTGACGCCTTCAGCTCTAACACGAGGAGCAGGCTTAGGGACCCCGGTAACCGTACTCGTCGAACTCGAAAAAGAGGTCGACGTGCAACCTGACCCATGAATCAGCCCGCTGAGTTACTCGCCGGATCTTCTCAGCGGGTCGTGATTCCGATCCTATAGTAGATTCATTCGCGGAGCAGCTGCTCTTGAGTTGTTACCAATTTATGTAGTGGACTGTATGATTAGGATGGGCAAGGAACTTGTTAAATAAACTCGCGAGGATTGCACGTATAAAATTTGTATATTTTAGAAATTTTATAAATCGCGTACAATAGCACGGATGAAAAGAGAAAAAAAAAAAAAAAAAAAAAAAAAAAAAACAATGAGGTTTCCTTGGAGGCGCTCGGGCAGCTGTTAGCAAACCCCACCCCTCCTGGCTGAGCCTGCTCGCCCACCTGTCCCGATGAAACTGGAAAGGCCTCCGGGCCACCAGTAAACACTCAATCATAAATAAAGAATAGTTAAAAAAAACTAACAAAATACGCTTTTATAGAAAATTCAAGTAAAAAATAGAAAATAAATTTTAATTAAAAATACTGTAAGGAAAAAGGATTTTATTGTAAAAAAAGCGTGGGGTGCTTTTCAAGATATTATCAACATAAACCCTTCTACTCATATCTGTTTATAAAATATTTATAACTACTGATACCATGCACCCCACGCTTTTTTTACAATAAAATCATTTTTATTACACTATTTTGAACTCAAATTTATTAAAATTTATTTTCTATTTTTAGTTGGATTTTCTACAAAAGCGTATTTTGTTAGTTTTTTTAAACTATTATTCATTTTTCATTTTTTAGTTTAATTTCAATATTTTTAGAAAAAAAATCAATTTTTTTTTAAATTTTGAATTGTCGTCGGTCCTTATTATGTATACCAAATTTCGAGTTAATCCAACGTTTTGAAGGGGGTCAAAATCATGTTCAAAGATTCCGTTACAAACATACATACGTTTAGACGTACTACGCTAAAAAAAAGCGTATTAAAAAAAATCTTCATTTTCTTTAAAGCAACCACTGTTCTAACTATAATACAATACTTTAAAATTATAATTTTATAAAACGGGCGGTAATGGGTGTCGACTTTAAAGGGTCGTTATTAGGTGCGTTTACGTTACTCACGGACCGGTATAGAGCAAGAGCCCGCGACAGCCAGACCTTCGTTATTTTATAAAAGCTGAAAGTTTCTCTGTGTATGTCTCCAACACAGGTAAGAACGACCCGCGATTATAGAGTTCCGATTGTGGTTACTTGGGCAGGTAACAGGCAGTAAAGGTATATAAAATAGTACCTTAAATTCGTTAAAGTATAAAGGTTTTTTTTTTAATATTTAGTNCTAAAGATATTCTGGACTAAATATTAAAAAAAAACCTTTATACTTTAACGAATTTAAGGTACTATTTTATATACCTTTACTGCCTGTTACCTGCCCAAGTAACCACAATCGGAACTCTATAATCGCGGGTCGTTCTTACCTGTGTTGGAGACATACACAGAGAAACTTTCAGCTTTTATAAAATAACGAAGGTCTGGCTGTCGCGGGCTCTTGGGCTAGTAGGTATGCTCACGGGCTCAGTGTGCTTAGTGCGAGTTTCTTAACGTTCTCGATAGCGTAAAAGTTAACCCAATTTAATATGCAGTTGGGACAGCGCCCCTAGCGGTAAACGAACGCAATTTTTTTT